GTAAGCATTTTTGAGCACTTGCTTCCTGCCAAAGGAAGGCTGTGATTATTCCAGAAACTAATAAAGCCTTGTGTGTGCTCCCAGGACATGAAGGTCTAGGTCAGTGGTTCTCAACCGTCCTCATGCTCTGGCCCTTTAATACAGTTCCTCATCTTGTGGTGACCCTTTGTTGCTACTTCATCACTATCATTTTGCTACTGTGATGAATCGGGCGACCCTGTGAAAGGGTTGTTTGACCCCCAGAGGGGTCGCGACCCACAGGTTGAGAACCGCTGGTCTAGGCCGAGAGAACATAAAATTAAAACTGAACTCACTGCCATCTAGTCGGTGCTGGCTCATAGCGATCCCACAAGACAGGGTAGAACTGCCCCTGTGAGTTTCTGAGACTCATTTATGGGAGTCAAACACCCCATCTTTCTCCCGAGGAATGGCTGGTGCTTTGAACTGCTGTTTTTGTGGATGGCAGCCCAACATGTAACCACTACGTGACCAGTACTCCTCAGCCAGAGAGATACCAGTAAAAATGATTATATGGTTTCCTAAACACATGTGCAAGGGACTAAAGAGAGCAAATTAACAAGATAATTTCCAAAGGAAGGGATCCTCAGGCTGAGTCGTAAAAACCCAAACCAGATTCATTGCACGGAGTCAATTCTGACTCACAGGGATCCCGCCCAGTGTGTGGGTTTGCAGGAGGAGAAAGCACATCTGTTTACCATGGAGGGGATGGTGGTTTAAAACTGCTGACCTCGGTGGTTAGCAGCCAAACGTAAAACTCACTATGCCACCCGGGCTCCCTAGGGTATTAAAAATGTCTCCTCTGCGATATCCCGCACTGACCCATAGCCCTCCAGGGGACAACTCTGGAGACACAGTGTGGGATTTGTGCCCGAGCTGACCCCACCACACCAAGGCAAAACACTAAGGACGTGCAGCAGAACAGCAAGGGAACAGAGCAAGAAAATCCTGAGGCAGTATCAAAAGTAGATTTTGGGGCCAGGACATGGCACCCCATCAGACCTGACCGGAAAACACTCCTAAAGGTCAACAAACAGACCTTGAACTATTTACAGGTTTTTCTTTCTTTCTTCTTTACTTGTTTGATTTTGTGTGTCACTGGCTTTTTTGTTGTTGCTGTCGTTGTTTTGTTTTTCTGTGTTGCTTTGTTTGGCGCTGTCTTGTCTTTATGTGCATATTATTCTCTCTGCAGGTCTATCTGGACAGGATAGGCTGGATAAACAATGTGGAGAAGAAAACAACAGGACTCATGGTTCCAGGGCGGACATGGGAAAGGAGGAGGTGGGGGAAAGGAAGTGGTGTTAGCCAACCCAAGGACAAGGGACAACGAGTGATTCAAAATTAGTGGCAAGGAGGGTGTGGGAGGCCTGGGAGGACGTGATCAAGGTCAATGTAACCGAGAGGAATTACTGAAACCCAAATGAAGGCTGAGCATGATAGTGGGACAAGAGGAAAGTAAAAGGAAATAGAGGAAAGAACTAGGAGACAAAGGGCATATATAGAGGCCTAAATACAGGCATGTACATATGTAAATATATGTATATATGATGTTGGGGAAATAGATCTATGTGCATATATTTGTAGGTTTAGTATTAAGATAGCAGATGGACATTGGGCCTCCACTCAAGTACTCCCTCAATACAAGAAAACTCTGTTCTGTTAAACTGACTTTCCATGATGCTCACGCTCCCGACATGATCACTGAAGACAAATGTGTCCATCAGCAAATTTGGTGAAGGAAACTGATGGTGCCCAGCTATCACAAAAGATATAGCACCTGGGGTCATAAAGGCTTGAAGGTAAACAAACAGCCATCTAGCTCAGAAGCAACAAAGCCCACATGGAAGAAGCACACCATCCTGTGTGATCACGAGGTGTCAAAGGGATCAGGTATCAAGCACCAAAGAACAAAAAATCATATCATAGTGAGTGAGGGCGAGTGTGGGGTGGGGACCCAAGGCCCATCTGTAGGCAACTGGACATCCCTTTGCAGTGAGGTTGTGGGGAGGAGACGAGTCAGTCAGGGTGCAGTGTAGCATCGACGAAACATACAACTTTCCTATAGTTCTTAAATGCTTCCTCTACCCCCACTATCATGATCTCAATTCTACCTTAGAAACCTGGATAGACCAGAGGATGTATACTGGTGCAGATAGGAACTGGAAACACAGCGAATCCAGGACGGATGAACCCCTCAAGACCAGTGGTGAGAGTGGTGATACTGGGAGGGTAGAAGGAAGGTAGGGTAGAGAGGGGGGAAAGATTTCAAGGATCTACATATAACCTACTCCCTGGGGGATGGACAACAGAAAAGTGGGTGAAGGGAGACATCCGACAGTGTAAGATATGACAAAATAATAATAATTTATAAATTATCAAGGGTTCACGAGGGAGGGGTGAGCGGGGAGGGAGGGGAAAAAATGAGGAGCTGATACCAAGGGCTCAAATGGAAAGCAAATGATTTGAGAATGATGAGGGCAACAAATGTACAAATGTGCTTGACACAATGGATGTATATGTGGATTGTGATAAGAGTTATATGAGTCCCCAATAAGATGATTTAAATATAACAAAAATAAAAAAATAAATATGTCTACTCATTTTGGCAGATAAACCAGTGAGGAAAGGTCATGCCAAAACAGCCAAGTCGATCTGACACCTCTAAAACAGTCTTCCACCACTTGTCCGTCTGTCTGTCATACCGTGGTGGCTTTCATGCTGCTGTGAGGTCACTGGCATTTCAAATATAGGGATACTCACATGGATCGCTTCCACCAGTGTTTTCAGACAAAGAACAAAGAGTCAGAAGACGGAATGCACTGTCTCCTTCTCAGAGATTAGCCACTGAAAACTTTGTGAACAGCAGCAGAACATTGTCAGATAGAATGCTGAAAGATGAGTCCCTCAGTGGGAAGGCATTAAAAATACAACCCAGGAAGAGCTACCTCCTCAAAGTAGAGTTAACCATCATGACATAGTGGTATTGGACCACTAGGCGTGGGTAAGCGTTGGACCACTCACTAACCATAAGATTGCTGGTTCAAACCCACCAACAGTTGCAAGGGGAAAGGATGAAGATGCAAAGATTCACAGGCAGGAAGCCCTTTATGGGGTCACAACGAGTTGAAATCGGCTAGAAGGCAGTGAGTTGGGTTTTGTTTTGTTTTAAGAACTTGTCAGGGTGGGTGCTTATCAAACAGAGAGAGACACATAGTTAGAGTTCAGGAAAGAATAGAACTGGGAGACACACACACAGAGCCCTCTGATTCCCGAGACCTGGGACAGTGCCATCCTCGTGTAGTTCTGCCTCATGGATCGCTCATCAGGGCATATCTCATGACGCAGGTATACAGAGCTCATGACCCACCTGTTTACCATCTGGTCCAAGACTCCCATTTCTGCACACGAGAAGGGGCCCGACAAGGCCGCTGTTGGTATCTCTGTTCTTGTTTGTGGAAGAGTAGTATAACCAGGTCAAGCAGTCAGGGTCAGTGGGGGTGGGACCCACCTCTATGGGAACATGCCACGTGTACACAAATTGTGTGCCAGGATTTACGTGTGAGGACCGTGGAGGGACACCTAGGAAGAAAGATGTACTGATCAAAGGGCGTGCAGCACCATGAGAACCCTAGTCTGGACTGGGAGATGTCTCCATGAGCCAGGATGAGGGTTGCGTACCTTGGGCCCTAGTGGAATTGGCAATGGAAGGAATTATCACCTTGATGAGTATACAGAGTTGTCATGATGTTCTAAGTGAGCTGTACCCCAATTTTACCATGAGCTTTAATTTGTTGCTCAGGTGGTCTGCTCCTAGAAAGATTTCATCCTTGGAAACCCTCTGCATCGGTTCTACTCTGTCATACAGGGTCCATCTGAGTCGGAATCACTAGACTATGCTCAACACCATCACCTACGTGCGCGCTCCTTCCTCGAAGACTTACTTTCTCCAGGTGTTCTGTAGAATGCGCCCTCGTTGTTCTTGCTGTAACGCAGCCCTTGAGGCTGAATGCTGAGCGGCACGGAAGCATTGTTGTAGAACGTGACCTTGAGGCTCTGCCCTACTTCTGCCTTGAGAACAGGGCCTGGAAATCAAAAGAGCTAGTAAGTGTGCTTGGTTTTCATGAACTGTATCAGTCCCGCTGTGTTATTTGAGCAGAGTCCCTGGGTGGTACAAAGAGTTAATGCAGTTGGCTGGTGACAGAAAGGTCGGAGGTTTGAGTCTACCCAGAGACACCTTGAGAAAGAGGCCTACTTCCATTGAAAAACCCTACAGAGCACAATTCTACTCTGACACACACCAGTTGATCGGCGTCAGAACTGACCCAATAGCAACCGGTTGGTTACTTGAGCAAGGCTCAGTAGC